CATAGCATTATGACCACCTGCCTAATATTGTGTTGGCCTGCCTTTTACTGCCAAAGAGCCTTGACCTGCTGGGACATGTGCTCCAATACACCCCTGAAGACGTGCTATGGTATCTGATACCAAGATGTTAGATGGATTTGAATTTTTTCTCCACCATATCCCACACATGCTCAATTGGACTGAGTTGTCAAAGTCAGCGTTGCACTCCTCCAAACATTTCTGAACCATTTTTGCTTTATGGCCGAGTACATTGTCTTTAGCCACAGCTATCGGGGAATAGTATTTCCATGAAAGGGTGTTCAACAGTTCTTAGATAGATGGTGCATGTCAAAGTAACATCCCGATGGATGGCTAACCCCATGCTTCCAAACTCAACACTGCTCAAACCATGACGATTCTGCTACACTACATCTTGGTCCCAGGTATTCCCCAGATAAGTAACACACACACACGGCCATCCATGCGATGTAAAAGAAAACATGATTCATCAGACCAGGCCACCACCTTCAACTTCTCCATGGTTCAGTTCTGATGCTCACGTGCCATTGTTTGCCTTTTCGGCAGTGGACAAGGGTCAACAATGGGCACTCGACTGGACTGTGGCTATGCAGCCCCATACACAACAAAGTGTGTATTTGACAAATTGCTATCAGAACCAGCATTAACTACTTCTGGCAATTTGAGCAATAGTAGCTCTTCTGTTGGATCAGAAAACAGAGGCCAGCCTTTGATCTGTACACACATCTTGGCTGTCCATTACCCTGTCTCTGGTTCACTGCTGTACAATTTGACCCTTGTCAAACTAGGTCAAATCCTTATCCTTGCCCATTTTTCCTGCTTCAAACACATAAAACTTTGAGGACAAAATGTCCACTTAGTCCTTAATATAGTCCAACCACTAATATGGGCACGATGTAGAAATAATCAGTGTTCACCTGCCAGTGGTCATAATCTTATGCCTGGTTGGTGTATGTGATTTTGTATAATTTATCACGGTTAATTGCTGCCAACTTGACTCCGTTCAGTCACAGATTGATATAAATGGCCTGTATTTGTATA